GTTGAAAAAGAAAGCAGTTTAGACACGGTTCCTTTGAAAAAAACATCTTTTTTGAAAGAACACTGCACACCTCATTTTTTTTTAGGAAGAAGGGTTCTTTCGAAAAAGTCCCCCAGTCCCTCTCTTTCCTCAACCTTCTGCCCCCCCCCCCGTGCCCCACATAACCCAAACCCTCTGCACCCTGCTTCTGCTCCCCAGACCTGGTACCCCCTCCTCCTCTCTTCCAGGTCACAGCCTCCTCCCAGACCCAGCACTCTCCTACACCTCTAGACCTGCACCTCCTCCTGCACCCATTCTCCTGCGTCAGGTCACAACCCCGTCCTTCACCCAAACTCCCTCCCAGATCCCACATCCTTCAGCATCCCGGTCCCTTACCCCAAGCTCCTTTCTTCACCCAGCTTCCATCCTATGCCCCGCATCTCCTTCATTAATATCATGGAAGAGTGCAGGCCTTGACCACTTACCAAATTCTTAAAGTGCCCCCCCCATCAACAATTGTTGCCCACCTATGGTGTGATCATTCAGTTTTCTAATAGGATGTGTTGCATTAGTTCTGTGCTACACAACAGCATCCTTTGACAGGCAGATTTCATGGAAATGGTAATTAGTGTAAATAAGTCCTATGTCCATCATGTCTAAACCTGCCATTTGGCAAGACTTATGCACTTTTAAGGTCAACAGAAATGTACTAGTGCTTCTTTCCATTGTGAATACCTCCAGTTCTTTCAACTTTTAATTGTTAATGATGATACTTAACTGCAATATGTTTAAGATATGTTTTTCCCTCTTCCTTAGCTTGGATGGTCCATTGGTCCACAGCATCTGATAAAACATTTGCAAGTTGTTCAGCAGAATACGCTGTATACGTGTCCAACTCCGCTACAGGTAGATACAGATGGGAAAGGAAAAAGAATACATTTGTATGGCGTCTTGGATAAAGGAGTTGGCGCCTTTAGGCACTACTACAATACAATTAATACAAATTAGAATGAATTTTGAGATGTGTAAGTATTTTACAGCAGTTTCTTAGGGATAAGCATGCTGGTAGAGAGAGCAAATCTGAGAGTTGCTAATGAGGCAATTTAAAAAATACACCAGAACCTTGCAAATTCTTATCGTATTAATCTCCAGCAGTGACCATTGTTGCACAAAGCGTGTCAGTCTCACTCCTTTGTTAGCAAAAATGCAGTTGCAAAGATGCTGCAGCATCTCTCATATTTCTGAGAATTATTTTTACCAAATGGTCTGCAGTTATTTACTGGTGTTCTGTCATGTGTTAGCATCAGTAATTAAAACTCAACTATTCTTCAGATTAGATAGTAAACTTCTTGTGGCACGGATGCAGGATGGAAGCCTGATCCTGATTGAGAATTTTGGGTGTTACAACACTGGAAATCAGAAATAATAGTAACTCGTCAAAATAAATGCACGGATTACCTTTTGTGATGCAGTGGTTTGGGTATTTGTGGACTCAGTAAGGCCCCAGTCCTGCAAAGGGGTCTGTGTGAGAAGGCCCATACACCATGCAAAGTCTCAGTGACGTCTCCCAGGAACTCTTTGTAGGTGCAAGGATCCACTCGCAGGAAATCTTTACATGCTGATTATGCTTGCAGGAGGCTTTGGCACAAGCTCTTTGTATTGACTTTAAACGCATGGATGATCCAGACTGCTACTTTTACTCACTGTCTCGAGAGTTGGAAAGCAAACGTAATCGGATGGCTCAACTACTCCAAGGAGTTGGATTAAAACCGGTCATTCCAGATGGAGGATACTTCATGATTGTTGATGTTTCTGCACTTAGTGAGTGAAGGCTTATTTTATTTATGATTGTTGATGTTTCTGCACTTAGTGAGTGAAGGTTTATTCTGCACTTAGTGAGTGAAGGAGTGGGATCATACATTATATTTAAGATTAAACTGTAATTTCCATGTTAACTTCCTCCCCTTTTTCAGTTTCTCGTAACATTTTCAAACAAACTCCATTTGAGCTAAAATTTTCTGCGTAAGAACTTGGCTCAGTGGTGATTATTTTTGTAAGTTTTGGTAAAGACCATTCATCCATTTTTGAGTGGTGTGATTTCTAATTACTGCCTTTGTATTATGTTTTCATAATAAGTAAGTCTGATGGCAGTTGCAAAGAAGAGGTGAAATTAGGGGTGGGAAACTAGATTTCTATTTTAGGAAGATATATGATTTACAAAAGGTTGAGAACTACTGATCGTGTCTTAAAATCTTGGGCCCACACACACAGACTTTCCTTTTAATTTTTTTTCTTTAATCAAAAGTCACTCAAAACACTGGAGGCACTATAAAGCACTTCAGTTTAATCTACATTTAAAAGAACTTTCTGATTTCACCAAAGTTTACAAATCCTTCCAAAAGTTCAGGATACCACAATATCAGAGGAAGACCTTTCCTAGAGGAATGCGTTCCAGGGTATGTGTACATTTAAAATGCTACAGATGTGAAATTGCAGCTGTAGTGCTTCAATGTAGACACTACCTACACTGATGGGAGGGGTTCTGCCATTGCCATAGGTAACTGACCTCTTTGTGTTGAAGAATTGACTGCCTGTAATACCAGTTTGTACTTGCATTAATGAATTAGGCCTCACAGTAGTAGGTAAATATCTCAATTCTACAAATGCGGAAATGAGCATTGAGAAGTGAAGTGGTTTGCTCTTCCTCCCAATGTCATACAAGATTATGCCAAACCAGGATTAGAGACTGAATGGAGCACAAGATTTGGTTCAGATCTTCCTAGTGTTTTTGTAATGACACTTGTATGAACTGTAATAGAGTATTGTGAGTTAAGTGTCTTCCCACCACAATGTTGGGATGTTTGAGTTAAACAACTAACCATTTAACTGATAAGCAGATGTTTATTAGTTAACAATGTTGATTACACTTAGCGAAGCCACCTATCGGGGAGCCAGGCCACAGGGACTAGTAGCCCTGCTCCCAGGGAGACTCATGTAACCTCTGAGATTTTCAGTGGTTACTCAGTTACCTTAATACATGATTTTTAACATCACTTCTGGGAGGTCCTATAGTATTATACTCCATTTTATATTCATTTTTATTTTAGATGTGGATCTCTCTGATATGGAGGCGAATCAACATTATGATTATAAATTTGTGAAATGGATGATAAAATCTAAGGTAAGATGTCTCTTTTAGCCAGTCATCAGATATATATTAAAAATCAGGAATATTTTTATACCTAAAACAAAAATACAGCTGTGCCTATGAAAGGATACAGCTCAAGATGTTTACATTTTAAAGCATTGCCTAGAGGTTTAGCGATGTATATAATCTTAACTGTAGGAATTCAGAGGCTAAAATCCTATTGAAAATGTAGCTTTTAGTCTTAGCACAAAACAATAAAAACAAGTTCTAATAACTGCTTTTTATTTCCAAACTTATATGTTAGCAGTAGGAACGATTCTACTAGTGATTGAGTTTAGGTCAGACTTACCTAGCATATGCTAAACGTTAACTTAAGCTTCCTAGTCTAGATAAACCCATTGATTTCTCTGGTGCAGGATTAGCTCCTTATATATGACATGTGAATTCTGAAAATTGAGCCAGTTCAATTATAGAGAAAGAAGAGAAGGCTCCAAAATCTTGGCTGTACAATTTATCAAACCTAAAATTGACTTTATCTCTGTGTAAGAGGCAAATCTTTACTTTTCATCATTTCAGAAACTGTCAGCAATTCCTCTTACAGCATTCTGTGGCCCAGAGACCAAAAAGCAGTTTGAAAAATATATACGTTTTTGCTTCATCAAAGTAAGTATGTGTCCTGCTCTAGAAAACTGTTCTGACAGCCATGTTGCTTATTACTAAAATATTTCTGTTAGTTTAATCCAGTGTTTTTTAAACTTTTTGGCCCGTGGCCCATCCCAGTCAATATAAATCTTTGCACAACCACCGAGCAACCAGTCATGATAATAAAATAGGTGGAGGAGAGAGTGAGGGTGCAAGGTCTGGGTGGGAGGGAGGGTGCAGGAGGAGGCTGGGTTGGGGGGGCAGGCTGGTTGGAAAGGAGGATGCAGGAGGAGGATGAAGGGTGTTGTGGGAGGGTGTGTGAGTGAAGGCAATGGGGTGCGGAGTCTGGGCAGGAGGGTGATAAGGGGCTCTTCCCTGGCTCTGCTTCCCCAAGCACTGCCCCCTGCTGGGATTCCATTGGCTGGGATTCCAGGTGAGCGGGGAGAGTCTCCAGGTGAGCTGTTTCCTGCACTGTTGTTCCCCCAGCTGGGATGAGGGAGTAGTGGTGTGCCGAGTTGCTTCCTCCCTCTGCAAGCTGGATCTGGCCCACAAGGCTGAGGGCTCCCTCCCCCTGCAGCTAGGAGCCAGTGCTAGTGCTCTAACATTGTAGGTGGGGGGGGGGGGGAGGGTGAGTCCTGAGCCCACAGCCCACCTGCAAGATGGTCACAGACCACGAGTGGTCCTTGCAGCACATTTTGAGAACCGCTGGTTTTGAGAACCACTAAGGCTGTGTCTACACAGCAGCATTATTTTGGAATAACTAACGTTATTCCAAAATAACGAAGTCCATGTCTGCACTACAAGCAGTTATTTTGACATAACATCGAGCTGGAGGACTTCTTACTTCTTACCCCAGCTCCTGTAACCCTCATTGTACGAGGAGTAAGGGAAGTTGGAGGAAGAGTGCTCTTTCTTAGACTTCCTGCTGTGTAGACTGCACCAAAAGCCAAAATAAGCTATTTCGACTTAAGGTACACAGTTGACATAGCTCAAGTTGCATAGCTTATTTCAGCCTTAGCTCTGCTGCGTAGATGTGCCCTAAAAGAGGAGTTGTTCTTCGAGTGATGTCCCTGTGGGTGCTCCACTGTTGGTGTCAGACTCATCCTGGCACTGCAGATAGATCGGAGATTTTCTAGAAGTATCTAGTTGGGCTGTGCATGCGATCCAATAGATGAAGCGATCATGGAAGCAGTAGATGAGGTTTGGAAAACACCAGCCTCAGCCTCCTCTCCCCCTCTCTCCCTGACCAGCAAGAGAGCTGACAGAAAATATTTCATCCCCTTGAAGGGCATGGACTTTTTATTTCTTCACCAACAACCAAACTCGCTATTAGTGGATGCTACACAACACAGGTCCAAGACCCTGCAGTACAAGTCCATCACCCATGGTAAGGACCATAAGCAGTTGGACTTATTTGGTAGGAAAATGTATTCATCCTTGATGCTGCAGCTCTTAATAGTCAATTACATGGCACTACTGGCCGTGACTTTGATAACTATGCCACATTGACAGAACTAATGCAACATTTCCTGGACGAGAAAAGACCTATCCTAAAATCTATAGTACAGGAAAGCTACACCCCATCTCGCACAGCATTGCAGTTGGCACCTGACTCTGCTGATACAGTCACAAAAGCAATGGTGACATCCATAGTGATGAGATGGTTATCATACTTACAAGCAGCTGGTATTTTGAAATATCTTCAAATCAACGTTAAGGACCTCCCATTCGATAAGGACAAACTCTTTGTTGCAAAGATGGACGAGATCCTTCATTCCAACAAAGACATGTGCACTACTTTATACACCTCCATACTGTAGGAGGTATTACGCTCCCTACTAGAGACAGAGAGATTTTTCTTATGCCAGGCAACAGCAAAGACCTTTGACCAAAATCGCAATAGGGCAAGGAACCAATGCCAGTGAGCTCCTAAAACCCTCATGTCGACTCAGCAGTCCTCCAAGCACCAGGTTTGAGGTTTTGGTTGAGGGCCTACATGACCTGCACTCCACCAGTACCTTGCGAACAATCAATATTTCGCCATTGTTTGCGTCCTTTTTCCACCAGTGGGCAGCAATTACCACAGACAGTTGGGTCTTAGAGATCATCAAATGCGGATACTCCATTCCCCTTACCTCTGTTCCGCCAAACTTCCCACCCTTCCCCACCCCTCTTCAGGGACTCCTCTCACAAAACGCTTCTTCGTCAAGAAGTGGAGCACCTCCTACGCATAGGAGCTTTAGAGAGGGTACCCGATCAATATCGGGCCAGGGGATTTTATTCATTCTACTTCCTTACAGAGAAAAGAATGGGTGGTTGGAGACCCATCTTCGATCTCCACCAATTAAATAAATATCTCCACAAACAATTATTCAAAATGATCACACTCTTGGCAATCATTCCAGCATTGGATGAGACTGGTTTGCAGCTCTCGACTTTCGGGATGCTTATTTTCATGTGACCAAACACTCATCACACAGATGCTTTCTCCATTTTACGGTTGCTTCAGAACATTTCCAATATAGAGTTTTTCCTTTCAGACTTTCTTCTGCCCCCAGAGTCTTCTTGAAGACCCTGGCAGTAGTTGCAGCATACATATGTTGCAAGGGCATTATGATTTTTCCTTACCTGGACAATTACCTCATACGAGGTCCTTCCCGACAAGCCACAAAAGACATGCTTCTTTTTACCAATAGGCTCTTTGAATGTCTTGGCCTCATCATAAATGAGCAGAAGTCCATAGGAACTCATCTGGATTCTACAACAGCACAAGCATACCTCCCAAATCAGCACTTCAATGCTATAAGAAGCTTGGTTTCATTCATGACATCATGTCCCACCATGTCAATACTAATCTGTCTTCACCTCATGGGCCACATGGCCAGTACGACATATGTTGTCCGACATGCACACCTGCACTTTCAGTGCCTTCAGCACTGGCTTGCCTCTGTGTACACCTTGTCCAAAAACCAGGTGCGCAAATAGGTTTCGATTCCCCAAGGGTCCTTATCGTGTTGCGATGGTGGACCAATCCAGAGAACCTTTTCGTGGGTGTCCCATTCCATCAAATGCAGCCATCCAACCACATTACCACAGATGTTTCTCTCTTTGGGTGGAGTATTCACCTGCAACATCATTTTGCTCAGGGAAGATGGTGCACCCATGAGTCCTGGCTCCATATCAACCCACTGAGGCTCAGCACTGTGCGCAACACTTGCAGATACTTTCTTCAAGACATTTGGGACTCTACGGTATTCATCCTCACCAGCAACATAACCACAATGTTTTACATCAGTTATCAGGGTTGCGCTTATTCTTGATCCCTCTTTGTGGAGGCTGTACACCTGTGGAACTGGTATATCCAGAACAGTATCAGCATTATCACATCATACCTCCCTGGGGTCAAGAATACTACTGCAGACACACACAACCATCATTTTCCAATAAACCATGAGTGGGAAATTCATAGGCACGTCCTCCATAACCTATTTTACCTTTGGGGTTGCCTGTCTGTAGATCTTTTTGCGACACACCAGAACACCAAGTGCCCCGAATATTTTCCAGGGTGGGCATAGGACCCAGATTGCTGGGTGACACCTTCCTTATCACGTGGAATGCTTGCCTCTACTACGCCTTTCCTCCCATTCCACTCATCTCCAGGTCCTCCGAAAGATCGAGTCAGACGATGCCTGAGTCATCCTCATAGCCCCAGCACTGGCCGTGGTTTCCCTATCTTTATCAGAGATCTCTCTGACCTCCCTACCCATTTCCAAACCACCCAGATCTCCTATCTCAGAATGAGGGCACCCTTCTCCACCCTCAAGTGGAAATACTACATCTGATGGCATGGTTTCTCTCTGGTTTTTAGAGGCTGAGAAAATATGCTCACAACAAGTAAAGAGAGTCTTACTCAAGAGTAGATGACAGACCACTTGTAATACTTACCTCTATAAGTGGAAGCATTTTATAGCCTGGTGTGCGAGTAAGGGTATTCAACCAGCTACCGCACCTCTTCATACACTTCTCAACTACATCATGCATCTGAAACAGGTCTGTCAGTCTCTTTCCTCAGAGTATACCTAGCTGTGCTGGCAGTGTTTCACTCTCTGACTGATGAGTGCTTGGTATTTGTTCATCCTATTTCTAAGAGGTTCCTTAAAGAGCTGCATAATCTTAATCCTACGTGTACACCACAAGCCCTCAAGTGGGATTTGAAGCTAATACTCAACGCACTATCTAGACCACTGTTTGAGCCCATGGCCAGGTGCTTGCTTTCTCTATTAACTGCAGAGACAGTGTTTTTAATAGCAATCACATCAACAAGGCAAGTTAATGAGATTGCTGCTCTCACAGCATCACCGCCCTACACTGTATTTCATAAATACAAGGTTGTCCTTCAACCTCACCCCTTCTTTTTGCCTAACGTCTGCTCAGACTTTCAAATTAATGAGCCTATCGTCTTCCCTGTTTTCTACCCAAAGCCTCATGCTTCTCGAGAGGAGGCTATTCTACATACCCTGGATATCAACAGACTTCCTGAAGGGAGTCCCTTTCAAGGATCTCCACTGCACAGCTACTTGATTATCCAGTCACACTTTCATGAGGCATTACGCAATCTCCACATGAATGGAGACAAGTTCAGCTGTTGCTAACTTAGTCCTTTCATCTGCACGTAAAAGCTAATCTGAAGCCCACCTACCAACTTTTCGGTACTGCTATATAGTCACCAACAGTGGATCACCCATGGGGACATCACTGAAAGAAGAAAAGGAAGTTACTCATTTTGTGCAGTAATAATGGTTCTTTGAGATGTGTGTCCCTGGGGTTCTCCATGTTCCGCCCTTCCTCCCCTCTTCTTCGGATCCACTTAAAGTAACAGGATGTACACAAAGAAACTAAGGGGAGTCAGGCTGCGTGCGCGAACTGCAAAGATGCGAACGATGTGTGTCCCCTGCTGTAAGAGAAAGGAACTCCAAAGAATTCCATCTAACCTCATATTTGGTTCTTACCCTTTCACCTGTCTGTCAGGGTGCCAAATGAGGAGTTCACACACAAAGTTATAAAGAAACTATACTTTATTATCTATAGGATAGGGAAGATAAAAAGGACAAGGGATGAATGGAATAACACACACATGCAAACATGAACAACAGGGGAGAGAAAGTGAACGTTAGGCCTTCTGTTTTACTCTGCTGCAGGGAAAGACAACTTCAAGTTTTCTATCCACATGACAGGGATCAGGAACAACTAAGCAGAAATAGGAACTTAGGCTAGATCCTAACTCAGAACCCACCCTAGCCCCTTTGCATCATCTCGTGTGTGTGTGTTAGCTCTGTTTAGTCAAGGTGATCCATGCTTGCAAGTGTGCTCTACAGTGATCAAATACACCTTCAGATGTTACGCCACCTTAATACCAACTGTAACTCCAAGCCAGTGACCAGTCTTTTGAGGAGTCCTGTCACTCAGGGAAGCAGCACTCACTGCATCTTGGCAGGCTTGAGGAAGAGAGCCCAGAACACTCCGAGCGCCCTCTATTTATGCACTCCTGTTGCCTAGCAACATTTCCCGCTCTTGCCCTGTTTTCCCGCCTTTTTCCTAAGCAAGGAAGAAGGCTATCCAAAATGGAGGGTCACTTGTTGTTTTGTTCAAAACAACATGGCAAACCCACAAATAACTTAAACATCTCTGCTGAATTACTGATTACAAAAGAGCGAACATTAACAGATAAAGAAGCCCACATTAACACTGCTGCGCATGCGCAGCCTGACTAGATGCTGCTAGAAAAACTCTGCCCTGTGCTGCCAGGATGAGCCTGATGCCAAGAGTGGAGCACCCACAGGGACACACATCACGAAGAACTGTCGTTATTGCACAAGGCAAGTAACTTCCTTTTTTGTGATATGTGTTGCTGTTAAGCAGTTAGTTATTTGGTTGTTTTTATATTGACCTTTTTAATGGCGTGATTGAAAGATAACAGTTTTATTAAGAATCCAACAAAAAGCAAATGGAGAAAAAAATTAATACAGGCAAGTCCCCGGGTTACGTACAAGATAGGGACTGTAGGTTTGTTCTTACGTTGAATTTGTATGTAAGTCGGAACTGGCGTCAGCCGCTGCTGAAACTGATCAGTTTCAACCGCGGCTGAATCTGGATGCCAGTTCTGACTTACATACAGATTCAACTTAAGAAACCCAGGCGTCCCCAAGTCAGCTGCTGCTGAAACTGATCAGCTCCCCGGGTTACGTACAAGATAGGGACTGTAGGTTTGTTCTTACGTTGAATTTGTATGTAAGTCGGAACTGGCGTCAGCCGCTGCTGAAACTGATCAGTTTCAACCGCGGCTGAATCTGGATGCCAGTTCTGACTTACATACAGATTCAACTTAAGAAACCCAGGCGTCCCCAAGTCAGCTGCTGCTGAAACTGATCAGCGGCTGATTCCAGGAAGCCTGGGGCAGAGCA